CAAAACCTGACAGCATGGAGAGCCAGGAAAGGACAGAGGGGAGGCCACATCAATGCCACAGTCACCCTGGAGACGGGAGGCCCTGTTGCTGATGGTGGTTTTTACCTCTGCAGGGAGTGACCTCCATAGCAGCCAGCTCCGAGACTGCTTCAGGGGCCAAGGAGACACATCCTGCTCCCCCCCAGCCTTGCATCTCCCGACAAATGTGCACTGAATGTGCAGGACAGCATTGGAAAGGACAAAATCTGGAATAAACCACAGCCCTGCAGGCTCCAGCTGCCTGCACAGGCTGCAGCCCTGCTCGTGTCAACCACATCCTCCCTGCACCCACCCTGGAGTGTGGCATCGGCTTCCTCCACGTGCCATAGCCATACCTTGCCCAGATCGTTTCCATAGGCAAGCAGAGCCGCTGGTGTCGAGGCATTTGCTCTTCACACCGCAACCTAGCCAAACTGTTTATCCAAACCCTAGCAGACTGAACCCTCCTGCCAAAATCTAGGCTGCAACAAAGAATTCAGATGCTCCAGACCTACTGCTGATAGGATGAAAGCTATTATGCCTCTGTGGCCTTGCCCAGCTCTTGACCCCCAGCAATGCTTGGCAAGATCTAGCACCTCAAATCAAAGACAACCCCTTGCTGCTACAGCCTTCCTAGGACCACTCAGCCCCGGTTTAGTGTATTCAAAACCTGTCCTCTGCGCTGCCTGAGTGCTCCTTCTCTCCTCTGATCCCACCCCAGGGCTCAGTGTCCCTCACCACAGCACCCAAGAGCCAGGCTCCCTGCAAGACCACAGCCCAAGACTCAGCTCCAGGCTGGATCTGAGCTCAGATGGAATTTCCTTTCCCATGGTAGGTCAGCAGTGGCTGAAACCCTACAAGGAAAACAAGCCAAAGCTAGCCAGATTCACAAAGGCAACCAAAGCTAGAAGAACTTGCAAGAAACCACTCTCATAAAAGCCTGACAGTCATTTGTCATCAGTCTCAAAGCATCGCTGGCTCTCCCTCTACATCTCACACAGACTGGAACATCACCTCCCCAAATCCACCCGCTTTGCCAAGGAATGATGGGACAGGGGACAAAGCCTGGAGGAGCACCAGAGTGACCCAAAGTAAACAGCACGCCAAGCAGTGCTGAGCTCCCGGCTAAGGCAGGGATGATTTGCATTTATTTTAACTCATGCTCAGTGGAACATGACACCATCAAAGCTGCCTGCGTAGTTCCACGCGCTCCCTTATATACACACAGGCGCTTCCGAGCCCCGGCACGGACTCTGCGCCCCAGCCCCGCTCAGATTACAGGGTGCAGACAGCCGGGGTGTGCCGAGACACCTTCCCTCCGCTCGGTGGTTTGCACTGCTGCAGCCTTCTGTTGTGACGCATGGGAAGGAGCTAGGAAAAGCATACAGACCTGGATCTCCACCTAAAATACTCCCAGGTCCATCCCTGGGATCCTGGCACTCTGCTGGGGCTCCCCTCCAGAAGGGGAAGCAGATGTGGTCCTGGGAGAACCCCAGCAGCGGCTGAAGGGCACGATAAACTACCACTGGTACCCCGTGGCTGTCACCCCGGCTCCACGGCTGCCCCTGGCTCGTCGCGGCACTGGCAGACCCCTGACCTAGTGACCATCGTGCTGTCAGGGACAGACCGAGGGCAGGGCGCAGGGTCACAGCCATGGCGTGGTTCGTGTGCTTGCCATGTATTTTTAACACTTCTTTGACTCACAAGGCTCTAAAAAGCACAGGGATTCTCCAAATGCTCCAAACATCTCCGGAGCCCAGAATAGCCCCATCTACTCCCCTTTGCAAACAGGTCCCTGTTGCAGCCTCCCTATGAAAGAGATGAGATCTGCGTTTCCAGCCCTTGGGAGGGAAGCGAGAGCCAGACAGAGAAGGGGTGCGGAGCCGGAGCAGGGTAGCAGGTTTGTTTACAGGCACAGACCCAGCACGCAGAGAGGCTGCTGGAAGCAATCCTCGGCCCCGGGGTCGTCCCTGCTCCCAGCGAGCCTCCTGGCCCCTTTGCCTCCCCTCTACCCGCCTCTCCTTTCGGCTCCGAAAAAGGATCACTCCCTGTTACATAACGGGATGAGCGCCGCACAAATGCGGGCTTGCACGCACAACTTCTCTTTTACTTAACAATACCTTTTTCGGTCATACAGCCTTCCTCTCCCCAGCTGCCATTAAACTGACAGTCAGGGGAGATGGATAGTGCCTGGCTCCAGCTATTTCAGCTATGGAGAAGAGGGGAAAGAGGAGCGTGGTGGGATGCTCCATGCACAGAACGGCGAATGGAGCAGGGTATGGAGGTCCCATAATCAGCAACAGTGTGGTCACAGCAATCACTCGATGTCACCACAGGGGATGCTGTGGGCACCGCAAGCCCAAGGGAGAAAGTCCCCAAAGGAGAGGGGGTTTGGCTCTCTGGAGAAGCTGGACCTTGTTCTTGGTGTTTCTCTGTTGATTCTTCTGCTCTGGCACAAGGCACACTCGGTGCAGAGTGGTAGCAATGCCCACAAAGGCAGCTGTGAGAAGCCTGCAGGAGCAGCACACTACTCACCAAATACATGCTGGCAGAAGAGTAACCAGCAGCAACCCCCTTCCTAACACCCAAAACACTGCTAGGACACCTCCGTTCCACCACCCACCACCTAACCCAGCCACTGATGGGAACAGAGAAGGACCTCATCTCTTGAAGGGACGATGCCTACTCGTATTTTGTGACCAGCAACGGTTAGAGACAGGATGCGTGCCCATATGCCGCCCCGTGTTTGTCTGCCTGCTCTCAGAGGCGAGAGCAACGATGCCTTGAATAGCACATACTCCCAGAACAGCTTCTGGTATTTTCTCCACCTGTAAAGGGTACCCAGACACAGTGCCCGCCAGAATGCCAGTGCCAGGGCTGTGTCAGGTCTGGCCGAGCAGCGATCAAGTTGCAAATACTTAAATGGAAGAGGAATGCCACCAAATCCACGCTGTGTCCCTGGATAGGCAGCTGGCAGTAGGTCTGAGCTAGAGAATTCTTGATCTGCTCAGGACAGCCGTGGCCACCTGGGCCAGCCATGAGTACAAGTCTCAGCCACCCTTCTGTGTGATTCAGGGACAGGGTGCAATGGCAAGCCAGCACAGAGCCCCCCCATTCCCAGTTCTCCTCCACTGTGGAGGTAAGGTAACTACATGCCTCATCTTGAATGTCCGTCTTGGGCATTGTCTGAACAATGCTCTCATACTAGATCACAGCTTTCATGACAGGCAGACACTGACTACTCTCAGAGCAGTTCCTGTGCCCATTGCAGTATCCTGCTGAGCCCCAGCCCTCCACATGGGCTTCCAGAATCACTAAAAACCTGCCACCCTTGATTCAAGATAGGAGAACTTCCACCCTAACACTCTTCCCTTTCAGGAGACCAAAGCGCTGTCCCAAGCACAGCCTTCTGGGTTGGGGTGGCGACTTCAGCAGCAGTAACAGTGGAGGAAAGTGTTCCCTGCAGCAATCCACGAGTAACACCATCGTTCTGGCAACAGGTCAGTTCACACTGTGCAACTCCTTCCCCCGTCCCCTTCACACCAGAGCTGCGGACTCCTGACTGTCCCAGAACAAAAGCAGAGCCACCATCAACATGTGGATTTCAGCATGGACACGTACAGTCCCAGGGACACAGGGTGAGTTCAAAAGTATTTGCACCCTGTCCTGATCGTGACACCAAGGAGTCACGGGACTTCCCAACATCACCTCCAGCCAAAGGTTTGCCTGTAGGACACGTGGGTTCACCCAGACCCATTGAAGCAGTGCAGCTACAAACACATTCATCCTCATGCTGCTCCACTAGCACAATTTGTGGAGCTCCTCCACTTTCCAGAGCCAGGCATGTGCTGTGTGTATGACAGTTTCTCTAGTGGAAAATACCAATGCCACGTGTCGGGGCTGCAGGCTCCCCGGGTGACCGGGACACAGCTTATTAGGAGGTGATGACGTGCCTATTCAAGCTCTCATACTTCTGTGCTTACGCACAAGGATTGGGTTCCAGCTCATTCCCCAAAAGACCAGAGCCCATTTTGGAGAATTGGGAGCAACACCCACCTCCTTCCACCCAAGGAAACAGACTCAGGAGTGATGGCCAGCAGCTCCTGACCTCAAAGCACTTTGGCAACCTCTGCTGAGGGCAGCTTAAATTACCAGATCGGTTATACAGTGATGCCCTGCACATTCTGACACTGGCTTTGAATGCCTGCAAGAGAAGAAAGTGGGCAGGAGTGGGAAAAGCACTGCTCCGAGACTGCCCCTAGCCAAAGCCCTTCCAGGAAGGCTTTCCTTTTACTCTGAAGGACCAGGTCCTCAGCAAGTGATAGTCACCGACCTACACAATAAAACAGAAATGCTCTCTGTTTATGTGTCTTGGCCTAGTGCCTTACCACACAGAGGCACTGGCCCCAGAAAAGCTTGGCAAGTACATGCCAGCTGGAAAGGAAGTCTTTCCCTAATACATCTGTGGGTCACTGCCCAAGGCACAGGCACTAGCGGCCCACCGCAGATCAGAGAGGTGTGCATCGTGAGAGCAAAGGCCCTGGGAGGCTGTGCTCTGAGCTGGTACTTGACAAGTTGCTGTTTCCTGTGCCTGTTTATTCTCCTTTTGTAGAAAAAACAAGCTAAGCCCCTGGGCAGCGAGAGACCAGGAGGCCAGTCTCTCCCTAGAAAGCCAAGGAGCTGGGCACTCTTACCCTTTCATGAGGCAAGAAGCATCCCATTCCCAGGGCTGGATCCTTCCTTTCCCCCGTTGTTAAAGGACAGGAGGCTGCCTGCTAGAGCTGCGCTGCTGCTCACAGGGAAGACAGCTCCTACTGCATATCTCCGAGATGTTTACATAAATACGATATCTTCTTTACAGAACCTTGTTTTCATGTGACGGAATGCATTTATGTGCATTCAGGCAAGAGCTCCATTTTAGACTGTAACTCTAAAGGCAATGCCAGCCCACAAAGCTGCGAGGTTGGTCGCTGAGGCCTTACCTTTGAATGAGGGTCCCAAAGAGCAGGTGGAAGACCTTCTGGACGTTCTCTGTGCACAGCCAGCTCCAGTGATCCATCAGCAGCAGACGAAGCACATCCAGGGCCACGTCAGCCAAAGCTGTCTCAGAGTCTGCCGGGAGGAAGAGGACGGTCAGAAGAAGCAGCCAACTCGGTGCCTAAGCAAACCCGGTGGAAAGCATCATCCAAGACTCACTCTTTGCGCAACAGCCTGCCTGACACTCTTCTCCCCAGCCTAACACCCTGCGCCACAGGCAGATGACCTGCTGCAGCACGGCCAGCTGGGGAGCCTGGCCCCACTCTTTTTCCTTTCCACTTTCATCCAAGCAGCCCCAACCTCCCTACCGAGGGGTGCACCAGACCAGAACATGGCTGCTCCAAGTACTCAGTTCTTTCCCAGTTAAGCTGAGGGATTATCAAACCCCAGTCCACATATGAGGATGGCAGTGTGCCCAAAACAGGTGAGAAAGAAGGCAGTGACTGTAGCCAGGAGAAAGGTGCATTGCTGAGGACTATTTTCCTAGTCTTCACCAACACTTTCCTCTCTTCCAACGTGGAGTTTTCCAGGTGCAAGACTGCGGTTGGTGTCTGCAGGCTGCCATCGTGTGGCAGGTCCAAGTCTCAGCAGCAAGATGGATGAACCACATCCGGATAAACCAGATGCATCAGTTAAAACAAAAACCCCCACACATGCTCACATATCCCTGGTGACACAGACCTTCTGACCCTCAGGAGGATGTCAAAGCCTACAGCATAAACACATTCTACTTGCTAGAGAATTACTTTTATGCTGCTTGGCCCCAAAGCATCATAGGTGTTTTGCTGAACAAGGTTATTAATGTACCACAAACCTGCCTGAGACAACCACTCCTAGGCCAGCGCTCCAACCTGAGGCTACTGCATTGGCTCTGTTGGCAGAGTGAGCTCCTGTACAGCATCCTCCCCTAGTGTGACCTTCCTCGATGCCTGATCTTTCAACCACTCTGCCTATAGAGAGCCAACGAGACTGTTAACGCACGATTTACTGCTGGAGATAAAGGAGAGAGGGATATCGGACATCAGCACCTCTCCTTCCCTCCTCTTCCTCTTCCTGCGCATACGAGCTGGACTAGTTAACTCCAGACCATTTCATTTGCAAAAGACAGGGCAGTGAGTGCATTTGGCCCCTCTTGCTCTGGGCCATGCATAAATTACTTCTCGCTTGCTTTGCCCTTTGAGACTTGACTTCCCTGTGCAAAAACTGGAGCAGGGTGTTTAGCTTCACCATAACCCCATACAAAGCTCATCATCAGCAAGCTCTGTTTATTCCTGTAGCATCCAAGTCCCCTTCCTCAGAGAGCTGCTGGCCAACTTCTTCCGAGAAGTCACCCAGTGAGCAGATACGGACGCTGGTTGCCTTTTAAGCCAGCCGCTCCCCAGACATTCATTCCCCTTACCCTGCCAGACCAGCCTGCCCTGTCTTGGCTCTGAATCATCACAGATCTGCAGGCATTTGACATCATTTACATTAGATTTCCTTAAGAGTTCAGCTAACTTGGCCTGCCTGTCTCTTGTGCTCCATGCAGAGCACTGGCCTCCAATTCCAGTCCTGCTCCCCAGCAGCCCCAAAACAACCCCAGGCATGTGTTCAAAGATTATAGGCAAAGCTGGTAGCACAGGCTAGGTTCTAGAATACCAGACCCATCCTGTCACAAGCACATGCTTTCAGTCAGAGCTCGCCGAACTTGAACCACTGGAGTGAAATTTTTGGAAAGTTCCAGCTGACACAGCTCAGCTATTCCAAGAAAAAGATTAGAGAACATATTTTTGCTCGTGTTCAGGATAATCTTGTAACCGCTCTGAGAGGCGGTAGCACCCCTGTGCTTCAGAGGAGGGATCTATAATCAGAAAGGGAACATCGTTCCTTGAACTGGGATTACGTATTTGCTATTCCCACCAAATCTATCCAAACTTAACTGAATCGCAAAAGGTCCTCTTATAATGCATGGACATTATCAAGGCTAACTTGAGACTACCAAGAAACGGTCATTTGGCCATTTTTCAGTTTCTAAGAGCTTGGTTTTATAACACTGGCAGTTTAAACAGTGTGTACTTCAGAAACTTATTTATGCAGTAACTGTACTGAGTACACCAATGTGAAGATCTACACTGACACAACTGAGCCAAGACCCAATTTGCTTCCACTAGCATTAAAGACCAGAGCAACCACCTAACAGGACTGGAAAATCTCAGTTTGCTTTCCCTTTAATCAAGGTGCAACAGGCAGGAGACTAGGTCCTCATAGTAAAGACCCTGCAAGCTGAGCCTGCAGGTGCTGGAGCTGTTGCAGTGCCAAGGCAGATACACTGAAGCACTAACAGAGGGGCTGAGCTCACCAGAGTCCATGTCCGGACGTGTCCCCTGCTCTGATGTGCGCAGCCCGTCCATGTTGTCCTCCATGGAGCTTTCCTTAGCTTCTCTACCTCCCTCGCCTTCAGGAGCTTTGCTGGGGACTGCCTCCAGCAGCTTCTCCTGCTTCTGGATGAAGGACTCCATAGCAGCTAGTGACAGGGTGCCAGAGACCTACAAAAGCACTGGTGTATTAGTACCACAGTGGTGAGCTGCATACAGCCAGAGTTGAACAGATATACGAGATCTCCACTGCCCAGACAGCCTCCCACCACCTGGTTTGCACCTTGCTGTAGCCAACAGCGCAACTAGGGCTGCTTATTGCCTTTCTTATTGCCAGGAACAAGGCTGCAGCAGCCGCAACCCTCGTGCACATGGATTATTCCAAGCCAGCACCCAAACAGGGCAGTGATTAGGATCATGAAAGGATTGCAGGAGGGATCTGAACTTACAGCACTGCCCTCCCTGATAGAGTACACAATCCTGTCATGCGCTTCATTCACACTCAGCACTGGAGCAATTTTACTGGATGAGAACCTCAGCCTGGACCTGAAGAGGAGAGACACAGCAGAGTCAGGGTTTTCTCCACAAGCTGTGAGTGATGAGTTTCCTAGCCTCAGCTAAGAATGGGGACCAGCCTCAGCGAAGAACCTGGACCAGCTATCTTTGTCCACTGTCATGTCCAAGCTAATAAGTCTGATTAGACCTAAAGTGGTTCAAAAAAGCATCCGCCCCCAGGATAACTAAGAGGTGGCAGTAAACCCATGCAACAAAAGCATTAAAGCGCTGTTCCTCAACTACATGTGGGCCTAGCCAAGGCTTTCCAACATCCAGCACATACACACACCTTCTTCGGCAGGTATGTTACATATAAGCTTACACGTAGATGTAGGCATTTCTGGTCAGCAAGGTGTGAGCATTGCAGCGTACACAGGAAAGGGTTCAGAAAAGCCTCTAAGATGAAACATACTCAGCAGGATTGTGAAGTCCAATTCTAAACATGCACACACAGAAAGGAGGATATGGAAGGGTGTTTGGGATTGTGAGACAAACTATAAATAGCCTGTTTATCATTAAGGAATATCCTTTTCGGCCAAGGTGCTTCAAAACTTGTATTTTTTTGGTTTGTCTTTTTGTTCAAAGCAGGTTTTTCTAGCAAAACTTCTCTCTTCTGGAAAATAAGCCATACTCATGCAGAAACCTTCCCTTCTTCTGTAAGGGAAGAAACACTGATGAGCACAATGGGGCTCGCCACTGCCAGCAACACGAAATAAACAGCTGGTGAGCAACGTTAAGTGCAGTGACCTTAAACAACTATTCCTAAATAAATATTCAAATGTTTGCTGGGCAAGGCAGCATGCCACTTTGTGAAACGCATGAGAGAAGCAGGAGTGAACCTGCAGGTAGACAACATATAGCCGTATTCTGCAGTGACTCACAACATATATAGGTTATGCACATGCTTAAGGGTAAAAAGCAGTTCTCCAGCAGCATCAACACCTTTGCCAGCAAATGCCACCACCTCACAGCTCTCTCGGGAGGAAACCCACCTTCTGTGAAAACCTGAGCACTCTTAGAAAACCCTTTATCCAAACAGGAACTCAAATACCCTTGCTCGGTATGTGAAAGAGCAAGCAATTTAGCTACAGTACGACAGCAATGTATTATCCACAACAGGTAAAGCACCAAGTCAGTATTTCCCCAGAATGGAATCAGTTTCTGTAAGAAATCCATGCTCTGCATAAAGCACAGAGGAAGCTGAAGGAGCCCTTACCTATTAGTCTTCTTCCCATCTGTCTGAGATTTCCCATCCACTTCAGACTCACTAAGATCCTCCGTGGGGCTCTGGGGCTCTGACCTGGGGAATGCCGTCTTCAAGGTGTCCACGATGGCATTGACAACGATCTGCAAAAGCCAGCAGTGCCATCAACTACTGAATATATACTATTCCTTGAATATGAATTAAGAATTTTCAGACTTCCTCTCTGTTTTCCATGATAACCCCCAGGCTCTTTGAGACGGTCTCTGACTCTTCCTAGCTTTATGGCTTTCTGGGCAAGCTGAGCATTCCAAGTTTTTGGGCTACTACCACAGCAGCCATACATGTAGACATTGAAGCCCGAGAGGCATGTCTAGGTGCAGCTGTAAGTGGTTCAGATAACCAGTTTCCCACTTGTCTACCTTGTCTATCCTGGAGACAACGAAAGGCTTCTTGACGAATGCGATCCTGGCATCAGTGTTCAGGGCGAGGAACTCCTGCACCTCCTCACTGTTTGCAATCTCAGGGACTGCACACAATTGCTGCATGGAAAGATGTAGCTTTAGGTCTTTTTTGAGTCAACTTTCCTTTGATCACATAAAGTGCAGGTGGAATAGATCTGATGTGCTCCACTGTCAGTACAGAGCTGTCCTGAGCACTGCTTTCTAGCTCACAGGGGCACACAAGCAAGTATCTCACCTTCAAGAAAGATTCTAGCAGACTTTTTCTGGCTTCCACTTTATCACTGTCCATATTTCCAAATGGGAGATCAGGGAACAATTTCTTTGGGCCTTTGATATCTACAAAGGAAACAAACCCATTAGCAAGCTCAAGAAAACTGCGGCAGTTGTATTAAAATCTTAACGCTCTCATGCTTAAGACTACCACTACACACTGCCCAGCATCAGCCCAAGATAATATGCCCCTCGAAACAGGGTAGCTGAATCAGACCTTAAATCCATGCAGAACTTGCATTCTGCTGCTATTGTACCATCCATGCCTTTAATGTTAAACAAGCAAGAACACCAGTTTAGCCCAGGGACTCTAGATCACTCAAAGAACCCAAAAATTCTCAACAAAGCAGTTTTCCAGTCAAAACTCCAGATCTGTCAAAACCAAAGCATTACGTAGGAACACGGCAAATTCAATGAAGTTTTATACATAAGTAGTATTAGAAGAACCATTGCCTTCTTTTTAAAGAAAGCTTACGTTCAACACATATACTCTACTTTCTTACATGCAAAAAAGACACTTGCAGATACCAGTGTTTCTATTCATTGCTAAGGTACAAAACTACAAAAGCAAGTGTTGCGATCTGAATGGCAACAAGGATGTTTTGAAACACTGGAATTTGCTGTCAAAAGAAATAAATTTCTCCTCTAGCCAGCTCTGCACAGAGCAAGGACATGGCATCACAAACAGCCCAGCATCCCGAGCTGCACAGGCAGGGCAGGATACCCTCAGAGCAGCGGAGCATGGACTGGGGTGAAAGAGAAAAGGATTTTCTTAGGAAGATAATGCAGGCACTGACTTTTCAGGAACTTGCGGAGCTCCGGTTTCTCCTCCAGTCTGGTCTGGAGGTTGAGGAACTCCCGGTAACGGCGGTTCACGGTGTGGTAAGCCATTTGCTGAAGGCTGCCCGCGCTCTCACCCTCCAGGGCTGTCTCATACTGAAGAGGAAGGCAACAGTCAATAATCCTTACAGATGCCAAAACAATCCTGATGTGCTGCGGTCCCTGTTGGCCCCACAGTCCCTAGACCCCACGGAGGTCCCAACGAGCAATTCCTCAGATTGACCCTTCCCTGAAGAAGAGTGGCTGCACAGCACGCGAACCCCTCATGACAAAGGGAATGGTGAAAACAGGATACAGAAGACTCAACCAGCCCCACACGACCCTTGGCCACGAGCAGAAACCCCTATCCTGCACCCGAACGGCCACTGGAAAAGCCAGTGTGCCCGATATTCCCCACTGCCAGGCAAAATTTTTTGTCCAGCCACACACAGAGCAAGTCCTCATCTACAAACACCACACGTGCTCCCCTGTCAGGGCAGGGATCTCAGAAAAGGGGTGAGCACCGGGGGAGCCTTTACCTTTACAGTGTACAGGGTGTACGGGTGGAAGCCAGTCCCACTGTGCTCTCGGGCAGTGATGGTCCCTGTTATCCGCAGATTCTGGATGACGACCGGCCCATCAGGGCTGCTGAGGGGTTCAAAGCTGAAGGTGCTGACAGAAGCCGTTGGGGAGGATGAGAGCAGAGGCAGAGTCTGCCCAGGGTCTGGGGGGCTTTGTGGTGGGCCCTCAGCTGCTCCCAGATCTTTCCCCAAGCTGGAGGGCCTCTGTGAGGAGGACTTCTTGGGGACAGCTAGGCCTTCCTCTTCCTTCTCAACTGCTGGGTCGATCTGGATGTCAGGGCAGGAGGTCAGTGCAAAAGCAGAGGTGGGAAGCAGGCCAGCATCCAAACTAGGGGCAACGCCCTCCTCCAGGTCCCCCATGCCGTCCTCCGAAGCGGCCGCTCCCTCCACCACAGTGGAGGTGTCGTGGGGGGGTTCATCAAGGAAATCCCTCATGGGCGATGGTGCCAACAGGTCCGTGTCCTGGCCCGCATCGGGCGCAGGGGACTCCAGCTCCAAACCCTCGCAGGGAAAGAGGGAGCCCAGGGCTCGCGGGTGGAGGAAGGGCTCCTCTGTGTGGCACAGCCCACTCGCTGAGTCCTCTCTGTCCTCTCCAACAGCCCCTGCCTCTTGCCTGGGCACCTCCATGGCCCTCGGGGAGGGGGGCAGTCCGGCAGGGGTGGCATCCATCTGCGCCATGAAGGGCAAGAAATCAGGCACTGGGGGTGCAGGGGGTGGCTCCTCACCCCGGGGCTTCTTGGAGAAAGCCCCGATGAGCAGCAAGTTGATCCAGTCAGGATCGGACATCTTTCTGATGGCTGGCAGCAGCACGTTGCAGGCGACCAGCTCCACCACCACAAAGCGTCCTGTTCGCGTCTCCAGGTGGGGCCAGGGCACCAGCGCCCGCAGCAGCGTGTCCACAGCAGCCCGGGCATAGCCCACCTCAGCTGCTGGGCTGCGGAGGGCCGGGTGCGGCCCCGCCAGCCGGCTGTACTCCAGCCACAGGGTCCGGCCACCCTCCGTATCACCCCTCAGGGCCTCACGGGCCTGCAGGTAGCTCTGCAAGTGATGGCCGTAGAGGAGGAGGAGGCGGTGGGCCAGGGCTTGGCGGTCCACTTGCCCCATCCGACGCCTCAGCTCGGTGGCCAGGCCTGTCATGGCCTTCTCCACCTCAGCCTCGAAGGCTGGCTCACTGCTGATGGTGCGGTACCAGGAGGCGACAAAGTCCCGCACCATTTTGTGGATGGTGCCAGCGATCTCCTTCTCCAGCCGCCCCGTGGCCACCGGGCAGTGGGGCTGGGGCTGCAGGGAGCTGACAAAACGCTCCAGCCGCAACCGCCGGCCGGGGTGGCTGAGGACCCGGGGGCCCAGCCAGCCACCCAGCACTACCAGCACCCCACAGAGCAGCCCCAGCGCCCGCAAGTCAAGAAGCAACTGCAGGGCCAGCAGCCAGCCCAGCGCGGCCATCAATGCCAACAGCACCCGACGGACCCCCCATGGCCCCTGGCCCGTCATGGCGGGGCTGGGCAAGGAAAGCTGCCCTGGGGCTCTGCCGACTGCTCAAGTTTGTCAAGGCTCAACCGACCGGGCTCCTCACCGGGGCTCGACCGACCAGCGTCCTTACTGGGCACCAGAGCCCAACCGACCAGGCTCCTTGCCAGGCACTGTGGCTCAACAGAGCCCAACCGACCGAGCTCCCTTACTGGGCACCGGAGCCCAACTGACCACCGGGCACTAGAGCTCATCAAGGCCCAACCGACCAGGGTCCTTCACCAGGCGCCGGGGCCCAACCGACCGGGCTCCTCACCGGGACCGCTCTACAGTCATCAGAGCTCACAATACTGCGGGATAACAAGCCACACTCTACCAGCACCGACACAACGAAGCCCCCCCTGTCAGACTTCACCGCCCGGAGCTCATCACAGACACCGCCGCAAAGCCTCCCCGCCACCGGCCGCCATTTCCGGCCTCACTTCCGGTACCTCCCCTCCCACCGAGGAGGGCGGCCTAGGGGGGCCCCCGCGCCTCCCCGCAGCGCCCCCTGGCGGCCGGGAGGGCGGGCTGGTGGGCGGGAGGCCGGGCTCGCGGCGCTGCCGTTAAAGCCGTTAGGATTTAAAAAAAAAAGCGGGAAGTTTGCAGCCCGGCGCGAGGCAGGGAAAAACGTTCCTCCCACCCGCCTTTTTTTTTTTTTTTTTTTTTTTTTTTTTTGCATGCATGCATTGGGAAAAGCGTGCAGCCCTGCCCTGGGTTTATTTTGTAAGTGTTAAGGGCAGCAAGAGTTTAAATGCACCATTTTTTTAAATTTATTTTATTTTTTTTGCAGGCGTTAAAAAAAGAAGCATTGTATTTATTATGCATGCATTTAAAAAAAAAAAAAAGAAGAAAAAGTTTGCATCTCTCTCCTGTTTAAAAAAAAAAAAAACAAACAGGCAGCTCTGCTGCATTCCGGCCGCTGAGTGCCCTGGGAAACACCTGGGCCACATTAGCCTCATCAAGCATTGCCAAAAAAGAAGAAAAACAAGACCAAAAAAACCCCAAAAGGTGCATTGGGGTCAAATAGGGTTGGGGATGATTGCCTGCAGCTGGTGATTAATTGGATGCTGCTTATCAGCGGTGGGGCTGGGGGAGTGGTAGCTCCTGGTTGTTTCTTCATGGATGTGGGGGGCTCCTGGTCACGGTACGTGGTCTAGATTTTGGGGTTGTGCTCAGAGGAGTTTGGACTGAATTGTTTTGTGGTTGTAAAACACGTGCCTGGATTTTCTTCTGTTGCAGCTGAGGAGGCGCGGATTCGGCGGAGACCCCCGTCTTCTTTCTACGAGGGGGCTCCCCAAAAAACACTCGTGGAGATGCTGGGAACAGCCTGCGCAAAAGGACACACGGGACGGTGGCAGGAATGAGCCCTCTCTGCAAAAAAAAGTCAGAGCAATTTTAAAAATTTTCCTGAAGTGATGGGGGGAGGGGGGTTTGGAGGGGTCCCTGCTTTGTCCTCGGGGACCTTGCTGGGTGCAGCCGGGTTCTGGTGTTTGGAGTGTTGGGGGAAGGTGTTGCTGCAAAATTTGTTTGTCCTGACTGATGATATTTGTGTTGTGTGGTTAAATACCAAAAGGATTTTTGGGGCTAAGAAACTCCCCCACTGTGTCGTACAAAACCTGCTGGGGTTTTTCGGTTTCTTCTTCGTGCACGGTTGCAGCTCTTGGGTTCATGTGAAGAGTAAAAAAAAAAACCAAAAAAAACCCCAAAAACAGGAGGCAGAGGATGTTCCTGCCCACGGGAGCTGGTGTTGGGTGGGATTTGGGTGCTGCAGATGGCTGGGATGGGGACCGTGGGGTGAAATTGCTCACTCCTGGGTGGAGAATTCCGCAGTACTGTAAAAATCACCCCAAATATGTCAGTTCTGAGAATGTCTTTTAACTGTGTGTGGGTACTGCAGGAAGACAGAGCAGCAAGGAAAACTTGGTGTAATCAAAACCTTCCTGTTTGAAAATGCACCCATTTGGAAAAGACTTTCAAAGGGGCTCTTTGCAGCTTGAATCCCCTGGGAAGCAGAGGCGTGACGTCGGTCTCTGTCCCAGCTTTGTGGGTCCCTGGCATCGCTGCACATCCAGGGTTTTTTCTGGGTGCTGGAGCTGCTTGTGTGCAGGATTGTGCTGTGCCCCTTATTCCCTGGGTGCTCCCACCGCCGTTTTGGTGCACTATGGCGTAAACAAATACGTTGGACAAGTGCAGGTACTTGGTGCTGTATGTTAGGTGGGTATGAATAAACGATGAAGCAGGTCTGGGTTTTTTTATTTATTTTATTTTTTCTGCAGGTGAGCAAAATGCAGGTCTTGCAAACTGTTGCTGCCTCCTAGGCATGCTCCAAAATACATGTATGCAAGAGAAAGCTTGAGCTCTTGGGGTTAACAAAGCTGAACAGCAGAGCCTGACTTCTGCTCCAGCACTGAATCTCCAAGAGTTGTGCAACCTCCTCCTTCTCTGCTGGAGCACACCATGCTCGCCACGTTGCGGTTAAAGCCTCGTGCCTCAGTTTCCCCTTGCCTCCAGCCCTCCCCTTCTGCTCTGGTTCCCCTTCCCTCTTCGTGAGAGACTTTGGGGAGAAGAGTTTCTGCAAGTTGTTGCATGGACTCAGCAGCCTTGCCCTTATATTAGGGTACCGGAGCTGGAGGATGCTGAGCTACCGGAGCGATGCCAACACGTTTTAATTGTGGTGCAGGTGGTGACAAACATCCTCATTCCCCCACTGGCTTTTTTTATTGCTGGTGGGAGGGGGCAGTGGGGTCCTTTGGCAGGTACTAACTCTTCAGTAACATATAACCGTGTGGCATAAAGGACCCGTGGGGAGCTATTGTTCCCAAGTTGGGCTGGGAAGCATGGCCAATTAAAAGAGATTAATTTATAACGTGTAAGAACCAGGAATCTGACAGCTTATTATTAATGGATAAATGCAGAACAGAGCACGTGGCGCAAGGAGCAAAGAGCCTTGCTGATCTTGGGAGGTGAGATGCTGTGTACAAACCAGCTCCCACCTGCCTGTGGGGGCGAGGGTGCTCCCAGAAGGCTGATATTCGAGATTAAATCACCTGCCTGAGATGCAGGCATGGGGGTTGGATAGGGAAGAATTTTTGAGGTCCTTAAACATTTATGCCTTAGTTAAATAGCGCTTTGCTTAACGGGCCACTCTCGGGAAGGGCAATACCTCTGTGAAGGTGCTTTATGAAAGTTACAGCTGCCTGGAAGTTTTAAAGGGGGTGGGTGTAAATGATGCAGGAAAAAATGAACTGGCTTGGGTGCGCCGTCTCCTAGAGCTCTTCCCAGGAGGAAAAATATCTGCAACTGCCTGGTTTGACAACAGTTTCCTACGTGGGAAATAAGGTGCGATTCTTCTCCTTGCAATTTAGATGCAAAAGAGGTGATGGTGTAGCAAGGCACTGCTAGAGCAGGCAGCTTCATCCCAGGGCTGCTATCCGGTCTCTTTCCCCCCCAAAAAAGCAGGAACAGTTTTATTAGATGGATGGAAAAGGCCGGTCACATAAATCCCATCCTTGATCATTCTGCATAGCGAAACTGGGGCTGTTGCCCATGTTGCTGTGCTGTTTGGAGGACAAGTACCTTACGAGTGCAGCATCGCAGTGCTTCAGCAGTCAGGTCTGCCTAAATATCTGCAAATGAATGGACTTTTGCTTTAAAGTAGGAACTTGGAGGTCAAGTGTGGAAGACTTAGGCACCCAACTTCTTCTGTGGACTTGGAAGAGGGGGGAGTGAAGCTGTTGAGCTGATTGTCATGACTTGAGCTCTGACGTGAGCTGCAAACATCTCCAGCACAGCCCTACAAGGCTGGTTATGAGATCTTTTAGGTGCCTGCACTGATTACAGGTGTTTTACAAGCGATTGCAGAGCGTTCCCCTAGCTGCATCCCTCCTTGCCTAGGTATTAGAGCAGACTGGCTCCCTACATTTGATCTTGTGGGTGGTTTTTTTGTTTCCTGCCTCCTTGGTAAGCAGGGTTATTGATATGGAGACAGTCTGTACAGTGTCTTGAACAAAAAGACCATGGTGGGACCCTAGTTGCTATAGAAATGTTGTAATTTGGAAGGTCCTTTGCCTCCTACGTGAGCCTTTAAGTGAACAAACAAGTGTGTTGTCGCTTTTCTGCGATGCTCTGCCAGCTTTGAGTTTGGCTTTGCGCTCGCTGTCCTGTGATGTTGATTTTTAAGGGGCTCTTGGGCACTGGAAGCTATTCTTCACATAAATATCCTGAAACTGGGAGCCCTTCTGCTAGGGATGATAGCTCTGATCTACCTGGTTGATTTAGCAGCGCAGCTCTTCGCCTGCAAGGGAGTGCAAGGTGATAAAAGAGCTGTTGTGCTGAGATGCTTGAGAGATAGCCAGCCATTCCCAGTGCCACTTCTGCACTGTACAGGCTGAAGATGTCCCTGTGCATTGCTCGTACCTCCCGGGAGGGTCCGTATCAACAGATGAGTTTTCTATGGAAACCCATCAGGGCAAGAGAGGAAGAGCCTCTTTGTAGCCACTCCTGACCCTGGGGGGGATCTTGAGGTGTAATCAAGTTGTCTGGGTTTGGGATGAATCCTCTGTCGGGGAGCTGGAAAGGGGCAGGATGAGTGGTCCTCCTGCTGTCCAGGTATACAAGCCCCCCTTAAAAGATTTCTGGTGGCCCATGGTTTGATGAGCGTGGGTCACCATTGCATCCAAGCCTGTCAGCTGGACCCTGGCTTGGAGACCTTGCAGACTTGAACCACACAGGGACCACACTTTATCATATCATATGTATGTGTGTGTGTGTATATATATATATATCTATCTATCTCCCTTAAACCCTCCACCCAGGCTGTGCCCTGCTGGGAGGCAACATCCCCACTGAATCCCGCACTTGGGTTGATTAACATACTCCTAGCTCATAAATCTGAGAAAGTGGTTTTGGGGAAGAACTTTCCTGCCTCCAGTAAAACTTGCCTTTAAATTATTTAACAAGCTTCTTAAGCAACTCAGCCATTTTGCATGGAATTTGTCAAGGCTCCATCAGCTATACACAGTGCAATGTGACAGCCATACTTTTATTATGAGCAGTGTATTAATCTTGGAATAGTGCTATTTGTTTTCCTCTCTTGCTTTTATGGTGCTTAAAAGCATGTATCTTCTCCTGAAAATCAATAACTAAAGCTATGAATAATAAAAAACACTGCAGTGAATGGCTCATAGAGATCCTATGGATGTAAGTTGCAGCAGTAATGACTCTGTTTGCTATCCATTAAGTATGTGAACTCAGAAGAATTATGCAGATTATAATAGCTGTATCAACATAAGTATGTTTTGCTGATAGACTTTCCTGATTGGATCCACAGGATATAAGTCTGCTAATCCCCTGTGCAGAGGACCTGATTATATTAGAG